CCCCCTCACCCCCCTCACCTTCCCCCCACCCCCCGCAAAAACACCCTCACCAACCTAACCTCCCCCTTTACTCCCCTCAACCACCCCCACATCCCCCTCTAACCTTCCCCCTCACTCCCCCTTACCTCCCCCTCCCTCCCCCTCTCTACCTCCCTCTACTCCCCTCCCCTCCCCCCTCCCCCCCTCGTACGTTCCCCCTCACTCCCCCCCTCACCTTCCTTCTCACTCCCCCTCTACCCTCCCCTCTCTCCCTCCCCCTCAACGTTCCTCCCCTCTACCCCCTCACCTCCCTCTCACTCCCCTCTACTCCATTCCCCCTCTCTACTCCCCCTCTACCTTTCCCCTCACTCCCCCTCTACCTCCCCCTCACTCCCCTCTACCTTCCCCCTCACTCCCCCTCTACCTCAAGCGGTTCCCCTGTCAACCCTGATTTAGCCCCCATCAGGGACACACCACTGTCTTCCTCCTCCTCACCTCCTCACTGTCCTCCTCCTCCTCTTCCTCCTCCTCCATCACCTCCTCACTGTCCTCCTCCTCCTCCTCCATCACCTCCCACTGTCCTTCTCCCTGTCCTACTCCTCCTCTATCACCTCCTCCCTGTGGTCTGACCCTTGACCTTGTGGTTAGACCTCTCAGTCTGCTCCTGCTGCCTGCATGTGCCTCTGTGTTGTACTGTAACCATAATAAAAGCTTGTCCCCTCTGTCTCCCTCTGTCCCCTCTGTCTCCCTTTGTCTCTGTGTCATAAAACCTTTGTGTCCCTCCCTACTCCCGGTTGCCCCCTCACTTAACCAGAGCTTGGCTTCTTCCTTCACAGCATGTGTTTCTCCCCTTCCTACTCCCACACCTCTCCCCCCACTGAAAATCATCTTCAGCATGATTTAAAAAAGCACCTGGTGGCGTTGCCATGCTAAGATGTTGCCTGTTCCTGCCCCCGAAGGCCCTGATTGGTACTGACAGACAGTATTGTATAAACAGCTTGGCTATTTCTCTGATCCATTTTCTCTTTGACCAAAGCTGGGTTGTCTAAAGGACTCCCTCCACTCCCTCATCCCCTCTCCCAATCCTCCTGTCTGTTAGACAGGGTTCTCCTGGCTGCTCTCTGACCAGACTCTGTTCTGTTCTGTGTGTCCCTTGCAGGCAGCTGTACCTCCAAGAGGCAGCAGAGAGGGCGAGAGAGGCCAAGGCCCTGGATAAGCTGTCTAAAGAAGAATACCTGAAGATGATGCTGGAGGAGAGTGGTCCTGTGGAGGACGGACGGAGGAAGGTGAGATGGTTTACCTGTTGTTACCTGTCACACCAACACACACCTGGAGGAGAGTGGTCCTGAGGAGGACGGACGGAGGAAGGTGAGATGGTTTACCTGTTGTTACCTGTCACACCAACACACACCTGGAGGAGAGTGGTCCTGTGGAGGACGGACGGAGGAAGGTGAGATGGTTTACCTGTTGTTACCTGTCACACCAACACACACCTGGAGGGAGGAGAGTGGTCCTGTGGAGGACGGACGGAGGAAGGTGAGATGGTTTACCTGTTGTTACCTGTCACACCAACACACACCTGGAGGGAGGAGAGTGGTCCTGTGGAGGACGGACGGAGGAAGGTGAGATGGTTTACCTGTTGTTACCTGTCACACCAACACACACCTGGAGGAGAGTGGTCCTGTGGAGGACGGACGGAGGGAAGGTGAGATGGTTTACCTGTTGTTACCTGTCACACCAACACACACCTGGAGGAGAGTGGTCCTGTGGAGGACGGACGGAGGAAGGTGAGATGGTTTACCTGTTGTTACCTGTCACACCAACACACACCTGGAGGAGAGTGGTCCTGTGGAGGACGGACGGAGGAAGTGAGATGGTTTACCTGTTGTTACCTGTCACACCAACACACACCTGGAGGAGAGTGGTCCTGTGGAGGACGAACGGAGGAAGGTGAGATGGTTTACCTGTTGTTACCTGTCACACCAACCACACACCTGGAGGAGAGTGGTCCTGAGGAGGACGGACGGAGGAAGGTGAGATGGTTTACCTGTTGTTACCTGTCACACCCAACACACACCTGGAGGAGGGTGGTCCTGGGGAGGACGGACGGAGGAAGGTGAGATGGTTACCTGTTGTTACTGTCACACCAACACACACCTGGAGGGAGGAGAGTGGTCCTGTGGAGGACGGACGGAGGAAGGTGAGATGGTTTACCTGTTGTTACCTGTCACACCAACACACACCTGGAGGAGAGTGGTCCTGTGGAGGACGGACGGAGGAAGGTGAGATGGTTTACCTGTTGTTACCTGTCCACACCAACACACACCTGGAGGAGAGTGGTCCTGTGGAGGACGGACGGAGGAAGGTGAGATGGTTTACCTGTTGTTACCTGTCACACCAACACACACCTGGAGGAGAGTGGTCCTGTGGAGGACGGACGGAGGAAGGTGAGATGGTTTACCTGTTGTTACCTGTCACACCCAACACACACCTGGAGGAGAGTGGTCCTGTGGAGGACGGACGGAGGAAGGTGAGATGGTTTACCCTGTTGTTACCTGTCACAACCAACACACACCTGGAGGAGAGTGGTCCTGTGGAGGACGGACGGAGGAAGGTGAGATGGTTTTACCTGTTGTTACCTGTCACACCAACACACACCTGGAGGAGAGTGGTCCTGTGGAGGACGGACGGAGGAAGGTGAGATGGTTTACCTGTTGTTACCTGTCACACCAACACACACCTGGAGGAGAGTGGTCCTGTGGAGGACGGACGGAGGAAGGTGAGATGGTTTACCTGTTGTTACCTGTCACACCAACACACACCTGGAGGAGAGTGGTCCTGTGGAGGACGGACGGAGGAAGGTGAGATGGTTTACCTGTTGTTACCTGTCACACCAACACACACCTGGAGGAGAGTGGTCCTGTGGAGGACGAACGGAGGAAGGTGAGATGGTTTACCTGTTGTTACCATGTCACACCAACACACACCTGGAGGAGAGTGGTCCTGAGGAGGACGGACGGAGGAAGGTGAGATGGTTTACCTGTTGTTACCTGTCACACCAACACACACCTGGAGGAGGGTGGTCCTGGGAGGACGGACGGAGGAAGGTGAGATGGTTTACCTGTTGTTACCTGTCACAACCCAACACACACCTGGAGGGAGGAGAGTGGTCCTGTGGAGGACGGACGGAGGAAGGTGAGATGGTTTACCTGTTGTTACCTGTCACACCAACACACCACCTGGAGGAGAGTGGTCCTGTGGAGGACGGACGGAGGAAGGTGAGATGGTTTACCTGTTGTTACCTGTCACACCAACACACACCTGGAGGAGAGTGGTCCTGTGGAGGACGGACGGAGGAAGGTGAGATGGTTTACCTGTTGTTACCTGTCACACCAACACACCACCTGGAGGAGAGTGGTCCTGTGGAGGACGGACGGAGGAAGGTGAGATGGTTTTACTGTTGTTACCTGTCACACCAACACACACCTGGAGGAGAGTGGTCCTGTGGAGGACGGACGGAGGAAGGTGAGATGGTTTACCTGTTGTTACCTGTCACACCAACACACACCTGGAGGAGAGTGGTCCTGTGGAGGACGGACGGAGGAAGGTGAGATGGTTTACCTGTTGTTACCTGTCACACCAACACCACACCTGGAGGAGAGTGGTCCTGTGGAGGACGGACGGAGGAAGGTGAGATGGTTTACCTGTTGTTACCTGTCACACCAACACACACCTGGAGGAGAGTGGTCCTGTGGAGGACGGACGGAGGAAGGTGAGATGGTTTACCTGTTGTTACCTGTCACACCAACACACACCTGGAGGAGAGTGGTCCTGTGGAGGACGGACGGAGGAAGGTGAGATGGTTTACCTGTTGTTACCTGTCACACCAACACACACCTGGAGGAGAGTGGTCCTGTGGAGGACGGACGGAGGAAGGTGAGATGGTTTACCTGTTGTTACCTGTCACACCAAACACACACCTGGAGGAGAGTGGTCCTGTGGAGGACGGACGGAAGGAAGGTGAGATGGTTTTACCTGTTGTTACCTGTCACACCACACACACCTGGAGGAGAGTGGTCCTGTGGAGGACGGACGGAGGAAGGTGAGATGGTTTACCTGTTGTTACCTGTCACACCAACACACACCTGGAGGAGAGTGGTCCTGTGGAGGACGGAGGAGGAAGGTGAGATGGTTTACCTGTTGTTACCTGTCACACCAACACACACCTGGAGGAGAGTGGTCCTGTGGAGGACGGACGGAGGAAGGTGAGATGGTTTACCTGTTTGTTACCTGTCACACCAACACACACCTGGAGGAGAGTGGTCCTGTGGAGGACGGACGGAGGAAGGTGAGATGGTTTACCTGTTGTTACCTGTCACACCAACACACACCTGGAGGAGGGTGGTCCTGTGGAGGACGGACGGAGGAAGGTGAGATGGTTTACCTGTTGTTACCTGACACACCAACACACCAACACACACACTGGACACACACACACTGGACACACACACACTGGACACACACACACTGGACACACACACACTGGACACACACACACACTGGACACACACACACTGGACACACACACACACACACACACACACACACACACACACACACACACAGTGAGGTAATAACCGCAGTAGGTTTGAAACCAATTGATCAACTCTATTTCCCTGCTAGGGAACAAGATAGCCCAGAAACACAGATTTCATAACCTCTTGATGAGACCAAATGAAAGCAGGATCAACATCTGTGCTGTAGCAGCTGACCTGGCTGTGCACTGTGGGAAATACCCTGTTTCACACATAGACCCTTTCACTGTGGGAAATACCCTGTTTCACACAGAGACCATTTCACTGTGGGAAATACCCTGTTTCACACAGAGACCCTTTCACTGTGGGAAATACCCTGTTTCACACAGAGACCATTTCACTGTGGGAAATACCCTGTTTCACACAGAGACCCTTTCTGGCGTAGGTTTGTTGGAGGAGAAGGGACTGGTAGAGGATTAGGGTCTGGTGGAGGAGTAGGGACTGGTGGAGGAGTAGGGACTGGTAGAGGAGTAGGGACTGGTGGAGGAGTAGGGACTGGTAGAGGAGTAGGGACTGGTAGAGGAGTAGGGACTGGTAGAGGAGTAGGGACTGGTAGAGGAGTAGGGACTGGTAGAGGAGTAGGGACTGGTAGAGGATTAGGGACTGGTAGAGGAGTAGGGACTGGTGGAGGAGTAGGGACCGGTGGAGGAGTAGGGACTGGTAGAGGAGTAGGGACTGGTAAAGGAGTAGGGACTGGTGGAGGAGTAGGGACTGGTAGAGGAGTAGGGACTGGTAGAGGAGTAGGGACTGGTAGAGGAGTAGGGACTGGTGGAGGAGTAGGGACCGGTGGAGGAGTAGGGACTGGTAGAGGAGTAGGGACTGGTAGAGGAGTAGGGACTGCTAGAGGAGTAGGGACTGGTAGAGGAGTAGGGACTGGTAGAGGAGTAGGGACTGGTAGAGGATTAGGGTCTGGTGGAGGAGTAGGGACTGGTGGAGGAGTAGGGACTGGTAGAGGAGTAGGGACTGGTGGAGGAGTAGGGACTGGTAGAGGAGTAGGGACTGGTAGAGGAGTAGGGACTGGTGGAGGAGTAGGGACTGGTAGAGGAGTAGGGACTGGTAGAGGAGAGTAAGGGACTGGTAGAGGAGTAGGGACCGGTGGAGGAGTAGGGACTGGTGGAGGAGTAGGGACCTTAGAGGAGTAGGGACTGGTGGAGGAGTAGGGACCGGTAGAGGAGTAGGGACTGGTGGAGGAGTAGGGACTGGTAGGAGGAGTAGGGACTTGTGAGGAGTAGGGACTGTAGAGGAGTAGGGACGTAGGAGTAGGGACTGGTAGAGGAGTAGGGACTAGTAGAGGAGTAGGGACTAGAGGAGTAGGGACTGGTAGAGGAGTAGGACTAGTAGAGGAGTAGGGACTGGTGGAGGAGTAGGGACCGGTAGGAGGAGTAGGGACTGGGTGGGAGGAGTAGGGACTGGTGGAGGATGTTTAAGGGACCGGTAGAGGAGTAGGGACTTGGTGGAGGAGTAGGGACTGGTGGAGGCAGTAGGGACTGGAAGAGGAGTAGGGACCTGGTAGAGGATTAGGGACTGGGGTGGATGGAGTAGGGACTGGGTGGAGGGAGTAGGGGCCCGGTTGGAGGAGTAGGGACCGGTGGAGGAGTGGGGAACTGGTAGAGGATTAGGGACTGGGAGAGGAGTTAGGGACTGGTAAAGGAGTAGGGACTGGTGGAGGAGTAGGGACTGGTAGAGGAGTAGGGACTGGTAAAGGAGTAGGGACTGGTGGAGGAGTAGGGACTGGTAGAGGAGTAGGGACTGGTGGAGGAGTAGGGACTGGTAGAGGAGTAGGGACTGGTGGAGGAGTAGGGACTGGTAGAGGAGTAGGGACTGGTAGAGGATAGGGACTGGTAGAGGAGTAGGGGACCGGTGGAGGAGTAGGGACCGGTGGGAGGAAGTAGGGACTGGTAGAGGAGTAGGGACTGGTAAGGAGTAGGGACTGGTAGAGGAGTAGGGACTGGTAGAGGAGTAGGGACTGGTAGAGGAGTAGGGACTGGTGGAGGAGTAGGGACCGGTGGAGGAGTAGGGACTGGTAGAGGAGTAGGGACTGGTAGAGGAGTAGGGACTGGTAGAGGAGTAGGGACCGTAGGAGGAGTAGGGACTGGTAGAGGAGTAGGGACTGGTAGAGGAGTAGGGACTGGTAAAGGAGTAGGGACTGGTGGAGGAGTAGGGACTGGTAGAGGAGTAGGGACTGGTAAAGGAGTAGGGACTGGTGGAGGAGTAGGGACTGGTAGAGGAGTAGGGACTGGTGGAGGAGTAGGGACTGGTAGAGGAGTAGGGACAGGTGGAGGTAGGAGTAGGGACTGGTAGAGGATAGGGACTGGTAGAGGAGTAGGGACTGGTGAGGAGTAGGGACCGTGGAGGAGTA